TTTTTGCCCCCTGTTGGAATTACTATATACCAACATGTTTTTCATGTAAATCATCATGCATCATCTCTTAACTAATAGTAGCATGATATGCTCACATGTTGCATGTGACTTCCTCTACACTCCTCTGCCGAATCTTTAATTCTCATTTGGCAGCATTTGAGTTAAGAAGTACTCTTTCCAGTTTGACAATTTTTTTCACATGAAGTGGTTCCTTTTGACTTTATTTTATTTTAGTTTCTTCTTGTCGCTTTGTTTCTGCACTCAACTTTGGTGAACCTTTACTTGTGATATAAATTCCAAAGTTCACATTATCACTTCAGGGGTCACACCAATGGCCAGTATATTTTCTTAAGCCTCAGGTGTGGGCAACCCAATGGTGAATGTCTTTGCTTTTACACGTCAGGAGATTGAGTGCTACGTGGGTCAACCTTTGTCCCCTGACATCACCCAGGCTCCTCCTCAGTCAGCTAATCTTGTTCAGAATAATGAGGACTTTGATCATCTTTTTTTCTGCCTCCTGAGTTTGCTCTTTCTTCCCATTTGCAGCCTGGAGAATCACCTAGGCCTAATTCAGTCTTTACGAATTTTGTGTCTCAGGGTTGTGATGTTTTGTCCCTTTCTCCTTTCTCCTTCCTCTTATTCCCCTCGTCCTTCCTTGTCACATGAACAAGCTTCCCGACCATATTTAGTTATTCCTTCCTCCCCTGATATTCAGGTACATGCAGATCAATTTGTCTCACAATTAAATGAGGAGATCAACATGCTGCACCCCCTAAGGACTGTTTGCCCTTTCATGCAGACTATCCATTTTTAGATCAGCAATTGTTAGGTGTTCATTATTACCTATTTGAGGAGTGGCTCCCAAATCCAATGTTAGTCTTATCCATGCCCAATATTCTTGCCTACATCTTACCCTAACCGAACTCTTATGATACCTTTCTTCCATACATCAAAAGCTCTCCACAGAAATCCTGAGGGGTTTCCTGCAGATACCCTTTTACACTTCTCTCCTCCACTTTAGCCCACATCTCATCTTCGGCTCTGTTGTTACATTTGTGGTTTATTTGTTGTTGGGACCTTATTTGTCTGGACATAGTTTTGACTCAATTTATCCTCAACATATCTTAGGGACTTATGTCTTGCAACTTTTCTGAAATGTTATGTTTTTGATATAGTTCCAGAAACTATCAAGCCTCAGGTGACATCAGTCTGTCAGCATTTAACCCTTACAAATTTTGTAACCCATTTGTCTTGGTTGGAGCCTCATATGCCACCAATTCCCACTCCTTCTAATCAGGGTACTTTTTATTAATTTCCTCAACGATGCAACCCTCGTTGCCAACAGCACTGGTGACTACCCTGTGGGTTCGGGTCCAGTGGGTGCTCGACTATTAGTTTCTTTCTCAATGGCGTCTCTTCATGGATTTTATCCAGTTTCTTTTTCCACCTCCCTTTTCTCCTTGCCATTTCATTTCCTCCTCCTTGAGATCCCGTGATCTACTAGTGTCTGTCTGAAGCAGTTTGAGAATTGCTTTTGCAGTGGGGAATCGAACCAGTTCACCATCTTTCCAGGCATTTTTATTCCCATCTTTTTGTTGTCCCCAAGAAAACCAGGGATTGGAGGCTGGTCGTCAATTTATCTTGCCTCCATTGCTTCATCGTATTCTCCAAGTTCACCATGGAGGCTTTTCTCACCTTGAGATGGGCATTTTCTCCAGGGTTGTGGATGACGAATATGGATGTATCCAACACTTACCTCCACATCCCGATAGCACATTGGTCTCAATTTTGGAGTTGAGCTGTCGCCTTACTTCATGATGTGGCCTCCAGAGGAGTTGAGCCATCACCATACTGGATGATGTGGCCTCCAGAGGAGTTGAGCCGTCACCATACTTGATGAGTGGCTTCCAGAGAAGTTGAATCATCACCATACTGGATGACGGGGCCTCCTGACACCATTTACACAACCACTGGAGTAGAGCATCCTGATTACATATACACAAATACTAGAGTTGAGCTATCACCTTACTGGATGATGTGGCCTCCAGATACCATTTACACAACTACGGGAGTTGAGCTGTCCCCTTGCTGGATGACATGGTCTCCTGATACTATTTACTCACACGTGGGAGTTGAGCTGTCCCCTTGCTGGATGACATGGTCTCCTGATACTATTTACTCACACGTGGGAATTGAACTGTCCCCTTGCTGGATGACATGGTCTCCTGATACTATTTACTCACACGTGGGAGTTGAGCTGTGCCCTTGATGGTTGACGTAGCCTCTTGATACCATTTACATAAACACTTGAGTTGAGCCGTTGAAATTGCAGTTCGCTTCTTCGATTCGGAGATCTCAACCTATCCGCACATAGATGTCGGTACCTTGCTAAGAGATTTTGGATTGAAGGAGATGCTGTGTATACCATTTTGATGGTATGCATGTATTTTGTTTAACATGACAATTTTTGTTTAAGTAAAGATCAATTTTCCATGTGAATGATATTTAATGATTGCTATTCAAACATTGATAAATAGTTTCTGTTAACAAGAGAAAGAAATCTGACACTGCTTGAACTTGAATGCATCCTGTTGAACCTTCAAATGTTTAAAACCAATTGTCAAATTCCTGGCTAGTGTATGCACTTCAAAACCTTTCAACATACCTGTAACTCCAATGTTTTATTCTTCAAACTAAATTAGTCTATATTATATAGTCACATTTCAAATTCATGCTGTTGTAAGTGCACTAACCTTATTTGATTTTGAAATAGTACATTGTATTGTTTTAACATTATGCTTCAAGATATATAAGTAACATAGTAAATGGATTTAAGTGTATAGTAAATACAATTAAATATTGATTTTATTAATATTGATTAAAATATTGTAATGATGTAGTTTGTAATCTCTGCAAACCTATTTTTTTCATAAGCAGTTATTAGTGGTTTTTTTTAATACCTTTTAATTATTAACTAAGAACATTGCTATCAATATTATTCAAATTGAAATTCCCATGTTAACATTTGAGAAGTTTGCCACTGGGTATACATGTAACATAAAAAAAAAACTTGGTTAATTACAATCCTTTACATTTCAGGTGTAAAAAGCAGCTTTTCAGAAACTTGAAATAACAAAGAAGCAGTGGAACTAAAAACAGTTGGATTTGTATCTGAAGGAGCAAATGTTAACATGGGCATACAAAATCTGGAGCTTATTCTAAATTGAAAGAGGAATCTCCTCACACATTTGTTATACTCAATGTGCAGAAAAAGTGTGAATGTGTAGAAAGGGTCTATGACACGCTTCATCTGAAACACTGTAAAGTCTGCAAGGAGATGGAGATACTAGGAGAACATGGGGTCATCATCAAAAGCCTGCTTAAATGAAAAGCATCTGTTAGCTTTCTCATAGGAGGAAACAAGTATATTCTAACCTGGTGATATGAAAGACCCACCAGCTCAATATATTGTATTGTACTTACACATGGAACATTTAGCTAAAACAAATAAGGAGGCATCCATCACAGGCCATGCAAAGTAAGTCACAAAAAACATGGAGAACATGCAGTTTGTCTCTTCCTGTCCAAATCCAAAATAATCAGTTCATTAAATATGATTTTATGAGGGAAGACCTTTCTTCCCTAAAGCTGTTTCATAATCAAAAGAGATCATTGCTACTAAAAAGAAGCCTGAAGACAAACACATTTCCAGGAGTTTTTAATTTGTACAGCTTCAAAAATATTCAATTCCTTCAAAGTGTCCGACCATGATTCATTGTAAAATAATGATAATATCGTGTTTGGTACGGAGAGGACAGTCATACTTTCCTTACTGACCTGTGCTGAAAGAAAATTGCTGTGACATCACTCAAATTCTGATCCAGTGGAAGAGTGTCATAACTCTAATAAACAATGAATTCTGATACAATAGTGTATGGGAGATCATGTAGACCAAGCATCCTTATACATTGTCGTCTTGCCAGTTTCTACTGCACAATGTGAAAGGGTACTTTCTGCCCAAGACCAAATAAAGAGTGACCACTGCTCATGCCATTCGGTATAAGTCATCAAACATCTTGTGAGAATTTCTTCACAAAATCTCAGACTGTATCATTTTAACCCAGAAAAAGCTTTTGATCTTTAGCTTAGCAGTGAAAAGAGGATAATTCAGTACAGGCAGTGGCCTGCAGATATGGATGTTCTGATTAACCTTAGTGAATTAGTCTAAAATAGACACCAAATAGAAAATGACTAAACAATCACATAAAATATGGACACAAAGCAATGACTCTTGCAAATATTACTTTGTCGATGAAACTGAAGAAATAGGATGTAAATGAAGAACATTAATCTTCACCACTGTATTAATGAATTCACAAGCTAGTTTTGGACTGCCTTTATTTAAAAAATAATTTCTTTTTCTGTGCTGAAAAAATCATATTAATTATTGCAGTATCTGTATATATGGAGAAAAAGCATGCTTCGAGTTGCACATTGTTGTTTGTTTTTGAGATTTATACCTTAATACTATATTATTTTGAATTGTAGTTTGTATTTATAACATATTAAATTTCAATGCAGTTATAAGTCAGCTGGCTCCTAAGATATAAAAGCTTACTAGGAGTGCTGCCAAAGAACTCTTAGTAACCTTGACAACCTGTGTAATAGTTAGTACAGAATGATTCAGGTAACACCACAAGAGATTGTGAAATGTAACTAAAATAAGCCGAGTTCACTTTATAATATAGAATTATATTTTTTGTGGCTTATCTGTGAGGAAGTCTTACAGTACCTGTATAAATTCAGCATCCACATTACATAATATTGTGTTATAACTATTCGTTGTAGTTAATTAAGTTTTTTTGCGTAGAATTTGATCTTATATAAAAAACATTAAGAATATGAAGTTTTACTACAGAAAATTTCTTTATCCAGACTTTTAAAGAATCACCTCTTGATAGACCAATACTGTTTTAAAGGAACTATGCTTTATTTTCCAGAAAACCACGAATCAACCCTCAACTAGTTTCTCAGCAGGTTGTCCAACATTACGCTCAACCCCAAGCTAAACAGAAGATTCTTGCAAAATTGGAGAAAAAACTTTCAGATTCTCCTTCTCTAGAAACTCTACAAAAGAAGCGTCAGAGGCGAGTAAAATTAGATTTTTTTTGTACTTTTATATGTCCTACATAGGTACGTTTTGATCCTCCTTTAGGAATAATGTCTGTTTTAATAGGATTTCTTTCTTATAGATATCGGTTGCACATTTAATCTGACATTAGTCTGATATCTGAAGGAAAAAAAATCAAAAATGAGGGCAATATCTATAATTTACTATGAAGCTAACTTTTTCACTATTTGGCAAGAGACTTTTTTTTACCCACTGCTCTGGATAAAACTTATATCCACATTAATATGTATTGTTTTACATACAAAATACATTATAAATGAGAATTGTACACTAAATACCCATACTGTTGGCCAGTACATTTATCTAAAAATCATAAATAGTATTCAACGCTAAACTGGTACACAATGAAAAACATTTTATTTAGGCCTATCTATGGCCTTCAAAAATTTGACGACTCTACATGTTTTGACGTTACAACGTCATCTTCACGTTGAAACACAGGGTTGAAAATCTAGTATAATGTAGCTCTGTGAGCCTAAACATAGGGTGTAAAATGTAGCTCTTAAAGCATAAACACAGGGTTGAAAATCTAGCATAACGTAGTTCTGTGAGCTTAAACATAGGGTGTAAAATGTAGCTCTGTGAGCCTAAACATTGGGTGTAAAATGTGGCTCTGTAAGCCTAAACATTGGGTGTAAAATGTGGCTCTGTAAGCCTAAACACAGGGTTGAAAATCTAGTATAATGTAGTTTTGTGAGCCTAAACATAGGGTGTAAAATGTAGCTCTGTGAGCCTAAACATTGGGTGTAAAATGTGGCTCTGTGAGCCTAAACATTGGGTGTAAAATGTAGCTCTGTAAGCCTAAACACAGGGTGTAAAATGTAGTTCTGTAAGCCTAACCACAGGGTGTAAAATGTAGTTCTGTAAGCCTAACCACAGGGTGTAAAATGTAGTTCTGTAAGCCTAACCACAGGGTGTAAAATGTAGTTCTGTAAGCCTAAACACAGGGTTGAAAATCTAGCAAGATATAGTCCTGTGAATCTAAGCTCAGGGTTGAAACTCTAGTGAGATGTAGTTCTGTGAATCTAAGCTCAGGGTTGAAACTCTAGTGAGATGTAGTTCTGTGAGCTTAAACACAGGGTTGAAATTCTAGCAAAATGTACTTCTGTGAACCTAAATACAGGGTTGAAAATCTAGGAAAAAGAAGTAACCTTCTCTGTGTTAGAGACAACTTGATTGGACTGAAAATATTTCAGAAAATATGTATTAAGTTTAAATGTTTTACTTCAGTATAAACTATTTTGATATGCTTTTAACCTTAACAACAGCTATGATCATAGCCAACATAATTAACATTGTGTTTGTATCAGATAATATCTGTGTTCAATACTTGATAGAAACGAATAAAAACCCTATAATCCGAGCGCTTTTGAAAGGTGGACCTTTCTTCTTCGGGGGCAAACTGGGAAGAGTTATAGGGTTTTATACAAGACTTCTCGAATCTACATGTTTTTCTAACATCATGAATGTGTTTGATGCTTCTTATCCTTAACATTATCTTCTCATATTCTTATATATAAATTTTAAAACATTTTATGCACATAAGTATTGAAATAGTTGTGATGTTTTACTGACTGTAATGAAGTACGAACATTTATAATGTATACTTGAGTTAGAAGTTAGTGTAATTAATATTTTGGCAATATGAAATGAATAAAAATTTAAACATATATTAGTCTAAATATTCTAAAAGGTTGTTAATTTGTATTTTTCTATCTTCTTTTTTTTAACAGGCCAAGATTAAAGAATGTTGACCGAAGTAATGCTCAACAAAGAGCAGTAACTGTAAACAATGTCACCGTGATAATCACAGAATTTCTACCCAAACATAAAGTGTCATCGGATCCTAGTGGAAGATTGTTGAGCAGTAATGATGGTGGTAACCTTTCAGATTCCACCAATCACAGTGATGTTAAAATTGGGAAATTCCACTCGTCTAGATCAGAATGTGGATAATTATCTATTTATAGAAAATCTTTTATTTTATTGTTATAGTTCAAGTTTTTTATCTTTAGTCCATTCAGAAGTGTGTATGAAAGTGTATTATGCATGCATACTGTGAGTGTTAATGTACGTATTGGTGTTAATATTTTATGTAATTCAGAATATTCCACGTTCCATATAAAGTTATCAGATTCTTCATTTTCTCATCACAAAATCATGATTTTTTTTATAAACATAGTAATTTTAATGCTAATGTTTAACACAATCTGTTTCTGTGTCTCCGAAAACAGTTTTTTTAATCTCAATGTCATGGTGAATATTTTTTGTTTTTTTTTACTCTTATGTTAATCTGGAGAATTGTCTGAGAACACTGCCCTTACCATGCTACCCATATTTTCCTACAATGCCACTTTTAAGACTGATACTTGAACACCGACAGCACCATGCTACCCAGTGCTAACAGTTTTTTAATCTCAATGTCATGGTGAACAGTTTTTTTTTACTCTTATGTTAATCTGGAGAATTATCTGAGAACACTGCCCTTACCATGCTACCCATATTTTCTCATCCATATCATTTTGAACATTGTCTGTTCTCTGTCTTTGATAACGTACTGTTTTACCACTGTTGTTTGTTAAAATACTATTTTAAACCTTGTTTTTGTAAGCTACACCTATTTCATTTACCCATGCTTCTTATAGCTGATTTTTAAAGAAAGATAACTTAATATCATCAGGGTTTGAAGTGTTTTTTTTTCAGGTTGTGTATTGTTCTTTTACCTTTTTAAATTATAATGTTTTCTTATTCTTGGATTGATTCTGTTGGTTCTGCTTGTGTCTTGCATCAACTAATATAGGTGTATGTAATTTCATTTGTAATTATAGAATCTTAGTGATGCAATTGTTCTGACTTGTTATATTTTTATTCTTAAAATATTCCATGCTGAACAGGGAAAATGTTCAACACAACAGTCATATTGATAGTAAACAGCAGCAGTTCAGTATGTTTCTCACTTTTTACACCATATTGAGAGTAAACAGGAGCAATTCGATATGTTTCTCACTTTTTCTGCTCCTGTTTACTATCAATAATGTGTATGGTGTAAAAAGTGAGAAACATATTGAACTGATCCTGTTTACTATCAATATGGTGTAAAAGTGAGAAACATATTGAATTGCTCCTGTTTACTATCAATATGGTGTAAAAAGTGAGAAACATATCGAAAATTGATAGTAAACAGGATCAGTTC